TAGGGCTTATTTTCAATTCTCTATATTATTTCTATGATTAATTGTGCTTACCACGCTTCAAAATGGATTTTTCCCTTCATATACCCTTTGATTCCTTTATGATTGAATCTTCTCAATTTAGTTTAATTTTTTTAGCCTTGGATTAGTTCCGTTAGAATTTTTTTTTTAACTTACGCGCGATGGCTTAACATTATGTATACATATAGTAAGTTAACTGTATCCTGTATCTATAGCTCTTCCTCGTTTTACTGTCTACTTTAAACAGATGGAACGTTTTCCAATCACCAAAATTAATTTATTTTTTAGTCGTTAGTTATTAATTATTATTGCCATCATGCGTTAAACATGTTCAATATTTTATGGTTTCTATTAATTTATGAAGTTATCACTTCTGTCGAGCGTCCCGTGACGCACATCATTTTTTTAACTAAAGCTTGGCATGCGACCCTAAAGTAATAGTCGAGAGGTGTTAGGTCGGGTGATTTCGGAGGCCAGAGAACTGAAGTTACTTTTCCAATCGCCCCGTTAGTAAACTTGCTGTTCAGATATTTTCCCACATTCATTTCGAAATGTGGAGGTGTGCCAACATGCTAGTTCCGTTCTGCATGGGGTTATCCCCTATTAATTCAGGAAATTTGTCTTGCAAAAACAGTCGGATGTTAAACGCTGTGTTAACGGTCGTTTTCGTGGTTTCAAAGTGCCAATGAATGTGAGTTTTTGCTTGCAGGCTGCAAATTTTCAATAGTTCAGTGATATGGAGGAAAACCAAAATTGAAAAAGGTCCTTCACACTTTGATTCGGCCAACATGAACAACCGGTACAAGAAAGATTCTGATACTGAGATAAAATGGGCGATTTTTTTCCATACCAAAGACATGATAAAAAGGCACCGCTTAAGTGAAAATGAAAAGCAGAACGCGTGCATGACACAATATTATGTACTGGCAAATGATCTGCTTACAAATCAGTAGAGCGATCGGGTTTAGCAATTAACGAATGCCTGAACACATCTAGCCAACAGGTAAAAAGCCAACATATAGGCATATAAATGTCTGCACGTCAATTCGAGAAATAATAAATACATGACAGCTAGTGATTAGGATGCACGAACTTCTATATGGCTAAACCGGATAATTTATAGCCGAATGTTGCGAAACGTGCAAAACGTGCCACGGGAATTATATGGCTGTTTAAGACGTGGATTAATCAACGTGGAAATTGGTGCATTGTTTTCACCTTGGCGTCTAAACGGGGATGAATTTCTTGAATAAACCGTGGTAACCCAGAGGATTATTCCTGCAGCCCTTTTTGCCCACATAAAATGTAAATTAAAAAAAAAACGTCCGTATAATGAAGCACAACGGACGTTCCTCATTTTGATCAAGTTACAAATCTATAAAATAAAGCTCACCAGCCCCATAAAAAAGACTAAGTGATTTTTTTATATGTATTAAAGCCCCGGTTCTTTTTATAGACTTTTTCGGGCGGAACGGGTGCGTAAAGAAAACCAGTTGTTAATTTGACAAATCGCGTGATCTGGAATGGCGTTCTGTTCGTGAATATGGGCTTGTAAGTCGATTCGACCAGATAAGAAAAGTGGAACTTTGAAGAGCAAAATTATTGGTATTTATAACTGTCTAAAAATAGCAAAACGACAAAAAAATCCTTTTATTTCTATTCAGGGAAATGATTACGTATACAGTTTCCACCACTTTGTTATTCGAGAACTTTGGCAAAAGTATTTGAGATGGTGAGTTCCAAGAATGTCGTAAATAAATTATTTTAAATGCCATCGATTCGGGAAAATCATTGACTGGAAAGTCCATCATGCATTGGTGATTTAATGGTCTTCGCTTATTGTTGCCTTTAACTTTTTGTATTTCCTTAAGAAATTCGCGATTTGAAAATCGCAGTTTTCTTATTGTTCTCCTCAAGTATCAGTTTACAGTAGCAGAACTTTAACGGTCGATAGAAAATCGTTTTGAGAAAAGTCGTTTTTGAGACACAACTTTTTGTTTTTGATTTTACTCCCCATTTCACTAGCATTTTCTTGCAAAACACTGCCACTTCTGGGAACGTTTTCTTGTCTTTTTTGAGTAAACCACTTAATAAGTCTCTTGTCAATCTTTTCATGTGCAGATAATTTTAACTTCCTACATCTAACATTTGTTTTGTCATACGATGATAAAATGTTTTCTCTGTTTTTCCATATGGTTGCAACAGTAGACTTTGCAAGTGCTAATTCCTTACAAATGTCACTCTGTTATACTCCACTTTTTATTTTGTTAATAATCTCGTACTTTTCATTTAGTGAAAAATCTTTGCATTTTTGTTTTTCCATTCTAAAACGATTTACAAACATAACGCGGCAAAAAACAACAAGTCACTGCTTGTTTCTCGCTCTCACTAATATAAACAATTCCGCACGATTCGTCTTGCTGAGCGTGTAAGTTCGTTATAAACGGAAAGTGAATATACAACTAACCTAAAAAGTGATCGTTATATCCGGAAATTCGTTATAAACGGGTTCATTATAACCAGTAAAAAAATGCGTTGGTCTTTATGGACGACGTTTCAATTAAAGGAGAAAAGTTCGTTTTAACCGAAAGTTTACTATAACCGGGTTCATTATAAGCGGACTTTACTGTATTTCTTTTTAACATTGTCGGAATTTTGTAAATCCACTATTTTAAAGGTTTAAGTTCAATGTGGATGGCAAATAACAATTTGAGATTTTTTGCAGCTTTAGAAAGCAGTTGCCTCCACCGATATTGAAAGTTTGACTAAATTTCAATCCGTTCATTTTTTTT